GGTAAGCATACATAGTCACATGTCACAGATCACTGTTAGCCAAATCAAGCTTCTGAAGAGAACATATAAAAAAGGATCTTAAAAACTGGGCTATCGGGTAGGGGAGATGGCTTATTCAATAAAATGTCACACAATGACCTTATTTTCTGCTTTTGTTGTAGTTTCTTTTGGGGACATGATCTCACTATGTGGCTTTGGCTGGTCTGAAACTCTCTAGGTAGACCAGGCTTGCCTGGAACTCACAGATATCTACCTGCTTTTTTTCCCCAAGTGCAGGGATGAAAGACATGTGCCACCACACTTGGCTCCAGCATAAGGAACTCTACAGCACCTAAGTGAAAATATGGGAGTGTTACTGCATACCTGACTCCACTTCTGAGCAAACAGAGAGAGGCAGGTTCTGGGGGCGCACTGGCCGGCAGGTTCTGGGGGTGCACTGGCCAGCCAGCTGAGGCAAACTAGTGAGTGTCAGGTTTAGTGAGAGACTTTGCTTCAAAAGCCAAGGTGGGAAACAATTGAGGAGGACACTGGACACCGACCTGTTGCCCCCACATTCATACACACATGTATGTTCATGTACATATGCATACACATGTATACACACACACACACACACACACACACACACACACACACACACACACACACACCTGAGTAAGAGCTCTTGGTTTTGTGAGTGCATCTAGTTTTTTTACTCATTAGTTCACAGCTGCTAGGTCAAAGCAGACAGAACCAGTAGTTCATTCAGAATAGATAGTATATGATGCTCAATAACTCTGCTTTCAAAAAAGATGAGTAAAGATGAAGATTAACAGATAACAGAGTAAAAAACATTGATGTGTTGCCGAAATCTGAGAAGTAGTTGAATTAGATATTTTCTTAGTCTGACCATAAACTATATACGTTTTAGCCATCTTGAATTTTACTACTGTTCAGATCTCAGAGAAGTGATATGTTAGAATAGATCAGAATGGGGTGAGTCCATGGTCAAGAAATAAGAAATTCATGCCCAAATCTGCCACCTTCCACATGCCCAACCTTCCACATGACTGAGCTCATTATACAATTTTTCTTGGATTTCAATTAATTATCTACAAGATAAAGACTTGGACTCCAGTGTCACTGTAGAAAAAAATAAGTGTGAAGAAGAAGGAATGAATCAGAACCATTAGAACAAGTTGTGTTTGAGTTGGACAACAACAAACAGGACCCAGTGACTCAGGAGTCTAGGCATTCCTCTTAATTAATCCTGGCAATATATCAAATCATTTGAATTATGCCTTGTTCGTTGACTTAAATTTAAAAAAAAATAAATACCAAATGCTGAAGAAATGTATTCTGAACAAATTAGAAGAAATTATCTTGAGTAGATCATACTTCTCATAGTCTGGTAATAGAGGTAGAAGTTGAAAATTAATTAAAAGTTGTAAGGAGTGAAATTCTGGCTAGGTTGAGGTGAAAGTGAGGGATAAGAAGAGTCAGTGGGGGGTGCCCAGATAAGCTAGTACTGTCCTTTTTCTCTAGCATTCTCCTCTTTCCAAGTCATTTGAATCTCTACACCAGGGCTGGCCTAGCAGAGACATACACAAAGCTTTAATGGGATTGTGGGAGGCCAGTGCTGCTGTCCATGGTGCTGCCCCTCTCCATAGCTGTTGTCAGGCTGATTCTTCTAAGGGTTGCCGTGAAATAAGGACCATTCCCCAGGTCACCCAAATAGAATAAGAATGAGTGAGTTACTTGTGGACAAGACTTGATCATAAAGTATTGGTAAAGAAGTGTGTGGAGGGAACCACCTCAGGGAAGAAAGAAAGAAATGCTGACATAATTCTTAAATAATCACAGGTACTATCAATGAAATGATGTGAAAATGTGGAACTGGTTAAGGATAATGCAATGGATTACATCCAAAGCAACACCTAGAGCCGTGCCCTTATATAAACAAGCACCAAGGTTACGCTGTGGAACAGCAATCTGCTAAAAAGCCTTCTGACTGTGTTTTACTAGGCAGTTTCTATGCTCTTCAGCTTCATCCTTTTCAACACTTGATGGCTTAAGAATCATAGACCTAGACTGAAACAGGACAAACAGAACAATAACTACACATTGCATGCCACAAATTCCATGAGGGTATGGATCCTATTTGCTTGTGTGGCATGCAACAAGGCTGCTGATCTAATTAACAATCAGTATATTGTAAAGCAAAGGTGTCTATTGAAGAAAGAAAGATGGTGGGCCCTTTATCCCCTTAGTGGGGTTATGGATTGATCGGGGATGGGCTTCTTGTAGAACCACAATTTCTGCCCTCCCATTTTCTGATATTAATGTACTCTTTAACAGGACTTCATAGAATTAAGACTTATGGTACAATCTCCTAGAAGTGCAGGAACAGGTGGGATGAGGGGGGAAGAAAGAGAGAGGGAGGGAGGGAGGGAAGGAGGGAGGAAGGAAGGGAGAGAGAGAGAGAGAGAGAGAGAGAGAGAGAGAGAGAGAGAGACTGCTTTGTATTTTTCTTCTTACCCTTCCTGTCTTCAAGCTTCTACCACCAGAGCTACAAGAGTAAGTGAGGTTACAGGCGGTGGCCTAGGAGCGTCGGAGTAGTTAGTTGGAGGGGCCTTGGGGACGTAGAACTGTCATGCCAGTCCTGGACTTCATTCCTCCAGATTTTCATGTCACATGGAAATAAGCACGTATTTTTCATCCAAAGCCACCGCCACTGATTTTTTTTTCTGTTACGAGCAGCTGAACCTAATCCTAATTAATACACTATTCATCAGCATTTGAGGATGCACAGCAAATACTGCCACATGCATACCCAATCAAGAAAAATAATTAAACAAAAATAATAAGCCATTGAGTTTCACGAGGTCCTTGATTTCTACATGAATTCTCAAATATCTCCAACTATTGCTGTTAATCAAAATAAATAAATTAAATAGATTTTACAAAATAATTTATTTACAACATGATATTTTGCAGGGAACAATTTTCTTTCTCCATACATTCTCCTCTGTCTGACTCCTGATGCGGTAAATGTGTTGTGAACATCACAATAAACTTTTTAAGTGGCTGACAGAGACAGGCTTGGAGACACTACCCTCCAAAAATGAGTTAGCCATCCTTGATTTCTAGCTCTTTCCAAAGAGATTGAAGGTTCTATTTACTGGGGGATGGAGGTATGCACTCAGAGCTGATTTTTGCACAAAACTTGGTATTTTCATGCAGCATTAGGAATGGCAAGAATCGCATTAACTATGCCCCTTATGGAAATTGCTGTGACCCTTATTTCCTGCATTTGGACCAATTGTCAATTGTCTTGAATGCAAAGGATAGAAGTGATCTCTGTATGCAGACAAGCTGTGTTTCAAAATGGACAGCTAGTTGTGAGCACATTACATAAAGGGCCAGAGCCCCCTCCAAAGGCCCCTCGCTTCCCTCTTCTTATTGCCTAGAAAATGCCAAGAAAGTTTAAAATTAATGGTGACCAATTGAAGAAGAAAAGGAAATCAAAGAAACATTTATTCCCTGAGAAATGGTCCCATTTTTCTCACCTTTACATAAGGGCATGGATAGTTTCTATCAGTTCTGGTTTTTTGTGGAGAGAATGGGGAAGAGAAAAGTGTATGTGTGGTAAGATCATATTTCTAAGCCCCACCAAAATATTTTCTTATTATTTTAAATCTCATAGAAGTACAATACAGGCAGGACCATACATTTTCACAAATTCTGTTAGCATTGTTAACTTTGGCATGTGATATTTATAAATAAAGCCAGATTTTTATTTATATATATGGTTATAGTACATATATATGGTTATATTTTATATATATAATATATGGTTATATTTTATGCACCACAACATTAGGAATAATTGCATATCGTATTGTGGATACTTAATTCCATTGTATCCAAAAACCTGGCCATGGTCAGTAACCTAAGGATTGTAGTCACAGGAACAAACAATGGTGAGAGAGCTCATGTGCTCAGTGAGTCCCCTTCTGAACACAAACAGAATGAGGGAAGGTTGGTTGGGCTTCAGTACTCACATAGACCCTTAGTTGATCAGCAGATATTGCTCTCAAACCAATACTTAATTTGGGGCAAGATTTGAAATAGAGGAATTGGTAGTGAATTTGTAGGTGACTGAAGTTAAAGATAATCCAACTGTCAGAAAGACAAGGATGCCTATTTATCCTGCAAATATATACTGTTATGACTACCTTTATTTGCATAGGAGACAGAAACAAATGTTATTAGCAAGGCAATGTCACTAGCTGAGCAGTTTGATCTAAGACAACTCCAAAAGAAGAGATTTAAAAAAAAAAAAAAAAAAACCTCTCCCTTTCGTAACATTTAGGAGAATATTTTTTCTTCTTGCCCAGAAACACAGGAATGTGGGAATAAGAGGTAGAAGTGAGAGGAACAGGTCTGTGGCATACTGTTCAAGTTCGACAGGATAGAAACTATGTTGCCTCCGCTGCCTTCCACGCTGAAGGCTGACATTCTGCTCCAAGGAAGCTGCTTCATCGTGTCTGGTTATCTCTCATCCATCCAACTTTAAGCTGCCATGTGTAAAATTAATTTCTCTTAGGATCTCTAAAGATGAGCAGAGGGAAACACAAACTTAATAAGGTATTTTAGAAATGGCTCTTCTACTTCCTTTTCCTCCCCCTTTTCCTGCTCTTCAAAGAAAAATGGAAACACTGCTGAACAATGTGTGAAGATGGTAAAAATTCTGCCACCTCTACTATCAGAGATCTTGGAAACCTCTACTCCTACCAAATTTGCATATAGAAAAATGTGAACACTCCCATAATTAAGACTCCATTTACAATCCCAGGTTGTGTTATACTATACTATCCATTTAACTTTATTGTGATTGATCTGCGTCAACTTTAACTATACTCACACGGAAGTCAATAAATAAAGATCAATAGTTTTTTATTTCTTCAGCTTTTTTATTAGACAGAATAGATGGGTTAAATAACACCAGCAACAGCAGTAACACAGAGGCCCCTTGGTGCTTTCCTTGGTAAAATGCTGTATTAAGACAAATCAGATTTAAGCTGGTGAATGGCCTTGCTTCATCATTTGATCTGCCATTAGGCTGCCGTTGGCATTCTGAAATGGAAACATTGAAACAAACTGGGCATACATGTATTTGTCCTTTCTGCAATAAATCTCTGTATGATATGCCCACTGAACCTCTTATTCCCTAGCACTGAACCTCTTATTCCCTAACACTAATCTCTGGTTTAATATATTAACTACCTACAAAACCTGAAACGCACTCTGTGGTTGAAGAATGTCCACAGTAAGATGGACCAGTGAAGAATTCCTTCTTCAAAAGGGAGGATAAGTCTGATCATGCTTTGTGTGGATTAAAAGGTATGATAGCTAAGAATTTGGGGTGAAGATATGGCTGGGCATGGAGGCCCCATGGACCAGAGATACAGTGGGCTGAAGAGGGCCTAACTAACCAGTTATTGATACTAAGTTGTCTGACCACAAGGAAATATGAGGTTGAGGCAGGGTGATGAGACCACGTGACAATGAGGAAAGCTTGGGTTTGCCTGGAAAATGGCAAGGGAATGGTCATGAGCTAACGTTTAATAAGGAAAGCCTTTAAAAACTGAAAACTAAGATATACACGTGTGGAGCAGCTACTGAAGGTCAGCCACCCCGGAGAAAACAAGCCACAGTGCTTACCCTACACATACACACACACATACATACCACATGTATGACCACTGCCAACTTGCCTCACATGAGAAATTACTTTGTGGTACCTGTGGTGGCTGTACTGAATAGGAGGAGCCTGAAAGCTTTCTGCCTGGCTCTTACTGGTCAGACCTTCATTTTCGCATAGAAAAATGATCATTTCTCCTCTTAACCATATCTCCAGCCTCAAAATAAAAGGGTGTGAAACAAACAGAGGGATGTCTGTATCTGTATTTCAAGTTCCAGCTTTCTAAGGTCAGCATGGCATGTGGTCCAACCTTGTGTACATGGCAAGCCTGATGACCAGTAGTGCCCCAATTGAGGCTTGTCCAACTATAGCATCATCATCTCCAAGCAATACTCTCTGTAAGTTCCTGAGTTTTGAAACTGGAATTCCCATGTGCCTAGTGACTTTGGTTGGAAACATACTTATTACCCTTCTGCTTCATTCCTTACATGTACTGAGTAAATTATGATCTCTATTTCATTGGTCATTTCATTCAATTTCATTTAAAAATTAGGTGTCTACATGAAAAATCTAGATGGAAAAACAGGAGATATTACTATGCAGTATGAAGAACTAGTATATTCATAAAGAACCTCACCTAACAAAAGACATTGCACAAAAGTGCCAAGAGACAGAAATGAATAAAACATGATGAATAAAGAAATGGACAGAACAGTGAGGCGAAGGCTTCAGAAAGACTGAGGGAGAATGCAGGGCATAAAGAACATGGAGAAACTGGGCAGAAAGAAAGAGGCAGCAGGATAGAAGAGGAACACAGAGATGGAAGAATAGTCTTGTGCAAAGGTTGAGTGAATGAAAAGAGAGATTTGGCTTCAAAAACAGTGCTACTCCATAGGCCAACATGAATGACTTCGTAGACAGAGAAGATGTGAAGAATAAGGCCCTGTATCCATGTTACTCTGAATTCATGTTGTGGAGGCTTTGCATCCAGGCTGAGGTGCTCGTACATGATTGATAGCACAAGGCTGACCCTGAAAGCTGATTCTAGGGTGCACAGAACTATTGTGCAGGTTGAGAGTATGCCTTCTTGAACAGTGTTTGTGAAATGTGGACTGAGCATTTTGGAAACGAATCTGTGAATATGCATGCAAAAGACTCTTTAATCTCAGCAATCATTTTCTAGATTTCTGTCTTGTATAAATTTCACCACAAGAGAATTCAATACAAATACATTTATTGGTCTAATATTTTAAAAGAAAAATAATTACCTACCAAATATATAAATGACTGATGTCCACACCAAGATTCAATTACTATTATCTACATCCAGTTGATCTAAAGAGTGTCCATGTTATTAAGTACAAAAAGTACATTTTATGTACACAAACATTCATACATGTGCTTACATTCATAGGTATAGTTATGCTACCTATTGTAAAGCAAAGAAATATAAAATCCTTACACAATTAATTGAATGTTCATAGATGAATATGTGAAAAGTGAGCTACTAAGCTGTTAAATGTCTGGTAGAGGATAAAAACAGGAAGGGCTATTTATCATAGAAGCTATTTAGTATAAGATTTTTTGATAACCTAAAGTGTTTAGCTTATAAGTAACTGTTATCAGTGCCAATTTGTGTTCAATTAAGAGAAGAGAATCTTGGTTGCAAAGGACATGGAAGGAATAAACCTCCTTATATACAGCCTTCCCTATATAAAACTGTTGCTCATTAGACATGTTTATTACAGAAGCTACTGAGTACCTGACACTGTCCTAAGCTCCTTTTCTTTAATTTTGTCTTGTTTCGTTTTGTTCTACTGAGAGTATATCACTGTGTAGCCCAGGTTGGCCTCAAGCTTCCAATCCTCCTGTCTGGGTTTCCTGAGTGCTGGTAATATAGATGTGAGCTACCTTGCCTGGCTATTTCCTACCTTATTTTGGCTTAGAGTTCAAAAGTAAGAAACGCTTAGGTGCTTGAGGGCAAGTGTTGGGTTTCCTACATTTCTATTGACCACAGTATGTGGCAAACATGCTGCTTCACTTGTGACCTGGACAGTCGATGATTCTACTCACTGACAGAATAAGTAACTTCAGCAGGTGTGTGGCTGGAGATGCCTTGGCTTCTCACTGGCAGACATAGCTTGGTTCTTTCTAGTGGGCATAAAGTAGTATACAGTTAACGGGAATTTTCCCGACATTTGATAGAGAATGTCTTCCCTGAGAATATACAACCTGAAATGTTCTGAGAGGATTACTGGCATGCCTTGTTCTTAGAAAAGGAACACAGGTGCTAAGGAAATTAAAAATCCAAAGTCTGTAACTGAAATGTCAGGACAATCGTTTACTACGGCATTACATGTCCTGGGTAATGTTGGTCTTTTTTTGTGTTGTTGACCCTCTCTCTTATCTTGAGTTTTTAGTTCCCATATATAAACGAAGCATCTCCCTGAAAGAGCTGGATATATTTACCCATGGGTTTATGACTCATGTTTATATAGGTTGTAAATCCTTTTCAGAATTACAAGGATACCTTGCTCTGCTTTTCTTAAGCTGTTTGTTTTTGCTATTACTTTACATATTGTTCTGTGTGTCCAAGATACCAGAGATCTGTGCATTTGGATCAGCAAATGTCCCCTCTACATTCCCTATATTAATGTTGAATACCATGGTTCATAAACTGTAGCAAAACCAACAATTCTTCTCCATGTCAGGTTTTTAACCAACTCTGTGAGTCAAGTATTTAACCTTGAACAAATATCCAAGGCATTGCTTTCACACAATGAAATATAACTTTGTGAAGGATTGGATTTCTTAGTACCTAAACTTGGGGAAAAATGAAAAGGAAGAAGAAAGGAAATAAAATATCAACAGTTCTCCATACTAGAATGTTTCTGGGAGAGTCAACTGAAAATTGGAGATAAAGGTGTCTTATGAAGTTTCTAATAGTGTGTGCAACAATTAAAAACAAGTGTTGATTTAATCAATATTAATTGCTTTAGTTCATGTCTCTATAATTAATAGTGGTCATCTTCTCTGGAAACTTAGATTCAAATTTATTTAAAAGGTCTTTGATTGATGACATCTAAATATCTGGACTGTCCCAAGTCTTCTCATCACCTGAAACTACATTCCCATTGAAATTTCCTGATGAAAGACTCAGCCCAATGTCACAAATTGAAAAACACACCTCAATCCCCAAATAGTACATTTGGGAAGGGAAGTCCTACTTTCTGTCCACTCCCATAGTGCTTTTCCCATGCACAGCTTCCTCGGCTCCTCTTTCCTTGACCACATCACCATGTATGAATCTTTTTCTCCATCTCTTTTGCTTCCTCCCAAAGACCACCCATGGCAAGGCATTGCATCAGCAAACTTGAACCTTTTAGCATTTGGATGAAGTAGAAAAGATCACATCATCACAGAAATAAGAGAAATATGAAAGTGAAAATTACATTTCTTTAAGCTTTAAGTCTCTTGGCCATCCTTGTTTCAGGAGACTCCTCAGCAGTCATTTGTTCCTTGGACAATGAAGCAAAAAGTGTAGGCACCCAATTTTGTTAACTATCACTATAAAGGTTTAATTTTATGGTCATTTTTTATTATGCAGAATGATGTTATTCCTTTCTTTTAATTATTTTCAATAATAGGTCCAAAGGCTTTTGCCTGTCTTCAGAGTAAGGGCTCCTCCAAGTATTTCCCCAACCAAAAGAGTTATCTTCCTCTAAATCTCATTGTCCTTAGCAATTAATAGATTTTTAATTGTTTTAAACTTCTCAGGGTTCTAATTCTTTAGGTGAGCTGGTGAGTCAATGATGTTGGTGGTTCTCACTTACTTAACAGGGGAACTTGGAAAGCTTTCTGATCTGTACAAAGTCTCATCTGTGTAAAAAACTTCAGGCATTATGATAAGTGGTAGATCAGGCATGGGCTGTGGGCATCTAATTCTTCTACCAGTCTCTGAGGTTACATCTGTAGTCAGTCACAATAGTCAGCTCTGATATGAGAAGCAGTTTCTCCAAAGCCATGTCAGGTCACCAGAATTCCATGGATACAGTCTTCTGGAAAACACAGATCCACAGATGGAATATCCAGGGATATCATAAAACCATCTGCCCAGCATGGACGACTGTGCTTGGAAAGTGACAAAAAGTATCATTTCCATTTCCATAGATATACGTACAGTATAACAGCTACAACTACATGTGACAGAGAGAGGTATATGTACATGTTCATGAATTCACCTGAATGTGTGTGTATGTATGTGGAGGCCTGAGGTCTATGTCAGGTCTTCCTCACTTGCTCACCACTTATCTTATGAGATAGGTTCTCTCACTGAACTGTTTGGCTAGACTAGAGGGGAAGGAGTTCAAGGGATCAATTTGTCTTGCACCCCCAGTGATGGATTACAGATGTATGCTTCCACATCTGGCTT